TGCGTTATACCGATGGGTTCTGCTATTAGTGTCGTCATAGTCGAAATCTTTATAAATTATCTGGAGTCCAGTGCTCTTTCTGTTCATTTCACCTCAAACCTGCACTATATTTAAGATATGCGGATGGAATTTTCATTTTGCATGTTAATCTTAATCATTTTCACCTGCGGCATGAATATTTAAATAACCAAGATCCTAATGATATAAAATTCACTTCGGAACACTAACCGAATAGCTAGATGGCGTTTTCTGACATTGTCATTAAACGAGACGCCACCGGTACAATCTCCTTCGGCATTCTAATCGCTACAGCATTAAATCGCTGTCTTAATACTTCATCCTACACTCTGTAATCTGTCTTCATCGATATCTTCAAATGCATGCGTCATATGCCTTTGTCCTATTGCAGTTATTAATCAGGATTGCCTTCTTTTACGTTATTCCCTTCGTCAGCTAGGCAGTATATTTTCATGGACTTAGCTGTAATGCTGCATTAAGGCATATTTATGTCCATTGCCAAGGAACAACGATTTCGCAGCGCTCCTAAATTTTTTAATTTTAATTATTGTTTACACTTGCTGATTTTTAATAAATTATCAGATGGGTCAAAACGAATCCGGTTTTATGGCGTATGCATCAGATTACGCCGCGTGAGTTTCACGTACTTAGATATAGCCACGGCGAGACATCGCGCTGTCCCTATTATCCGCAGGTCATTCACTTGTAATCTATTTCTTGATTGGTTGCCCCGAAACGCAACGGTGTAAATGGCTTGCTCTAGGAAATTAGCAGTTAGTACAAAAATCTTACGCTGCGCTAGAAACGGATAGAATCCATCGTCTCTGTTAATCTGGGCGCTTAATATATGCACTGTGGGAGTATGATGTGTGCGCCGCCTCGATGGCAATGTACAGATGTGTTGAGGTTGATGCAGGCTTACTGTTTGAAAGCGTTTAAGCTGGGGGAAGGGCGGTGTATGTACTATCATTTGCGTACAACAGTACTTATATTTTAGTTGCTACTGCGAACTTCATGATTTTCACAGTGATGCATCGCCGTTGCAAAACTTGATCGAACGATGGTTTGCGTATGAGGCCTTTGTGTTACCCTGGTGTCATTGGATATAACAAGAATATGCCTTGAGGTGCTTCATCCAATTTTCCATTCAGTACTTGCTTACTGTGATAACCTTAAAAAGTGTGCTTTATCTGATGTCTCGGTCGGTGGCGTGCACTGCCTTCTCATTTTTCAGCATTTGCAGTGACGTAGCGACCGTAGCGCCCGTAGTCGGAACTGCCCGTCCCCTTCCCCATTGCACCTCGGATGGTGTTGTTCACCTGTGTAGCATTTTGATCTCCGATCTGTATGCGGTGTTTCGACTTCTATAACTTTTGTCGTAAACTGAATGGTTTATCCTCAAGCGATTTGTCAGATGGGATCAGTTAACGTTTTCTGTTTTAAGCCGTGTGTATGTGCCTTAAAGAGAATCGTTCCTTACGTGATCATGGCATTCGGTCTTCAGCCCATACTTAAGTTGTTTTAAGTCCTTTAGAATGCGCATGATGGGTCTGTTCGAATTTCGAGTACACTGGTGATCTATGTAGGTAAGTTTCATGTGCGACGTTGGCTTAGAACACGTTCAACTGTTATAAAACGGTTTGACGCAAATGAGAAGCGTGCTAGTCTGCAGCAGCGTTAACTTTCTACTTGTAGGTCCTTCAAACCATCTACTACCTCCTGTGTGTTATTAGAGCAGTAATCGATTGCAACGCCGAGAAGGCAGATTTCGAACCCAACAGAAGATTCTCATCGTTGCCGAGCTATTACCGGGAGTCGATTTTGCACAATGTGTGCGACATGGTCTATGCCACTGCCATGTTCCCGATCAGCGTGGTCAGTTGGTTTTTATTTTTGCGTTGCTAGATGAGTGCTGCTGGTGTCTAGTTGTCTGGATTCGTTTAAACTTCCGCTATACTAGATTGTTGTCGTCGTGTTCTGGAGCCTTTATTCGATCGATCGCAATCTCATCTATCCGGAATACCTGGATGAAATATATCCCCAGTGGATGAACGCAATAATGGTACGCTTTAACCGGTTCTGCTTATTGTGTATGCGCTTACTTATGTATACATTCTGTTATAAGTCTCTAATTTTATCTTTCAACGAACAGAAACAAGGCTTTCCGTATATCCTTACTCTAAGAAAAGAAGAAACCGTTTGTGATCGTTTATCAGTACACGATAGACGATATTCTTGCCACCCTTCGTTTATGAACGAACGGCGCTGGCACATGACCAAAGCACACATCGGCTTAAAGCGCAGTGATAAATGCGTGAAGTTCAGAAGTTTCATTAAGTGAAGCTTCCTACAATGCAGAAAGCGTACTTGTGCACTTTTAACACATTTAACTCTACGCTTCTCCCGGCAGCAAATATTCCTCTAGCCCTTGATGATTTCGTATATAGGGCAGCCTTCTTCCTCTCGCATTCGTCACCGACTATAGAAGAGACAGTTTCATCTGAGGACTGAAAGGGCACCAGCAAGTAAATCCGAGATTTTTTTAGCTTGTAGAATACTTCATTCATTTATTCATTCATCTTCCATCGCCGTTTCTCCTTTCGTTTCGCGGAAGCAGATACGTCAGACATAAATTCCAACGTTCCCCATCCTGTGCCAGAGTCTCAGCTTCAGCAGAAGATAACTGGAGTCTGGAAGAGACTCCTTCCATATATTTGCACGGGATAATCTTGGCCCTCCCCTACGCATTCTGCCGTTTGGTTTGGCAAGAAACAGTTCCTTAGCCTTCCTTTGCGGAGGCATTCGCAACACATACCCAGGTCATCGCAGCTGTGATTTCACAATCTCAAGAAGCAGAGGCTGTACACCAAGGCTCTCCCGCATGTTGGTATTCCGGACTGTCTAGACCAATAACGCCAGCGACTCCTCTAAGAAAATCCATTTTAGCTGCTTGTACCTGGATTTGAAGCTTTTCAGTTACGGTCCACAACTCACGACCGTAAGTAAGCATGGGGATAAAGATCGATTTGAACACCGAGAGCTTAGTTTTCAGACTCAGCTCTGCTTTAGTCATAGTGGGTCAGGCTAGTTCACCCAAAACGA